GGGGGTTTGTGAAACTTTCCTAGGCATAGTCGCAGTTGAAAACTTCCCTGGATGTATAATAGACCTCAATTCAGACCAAATTCATTCAGTCAGTCCACTAACAGCACATGTATAGCTCAACTCTGCCACACGCTTCTCAATTCAAAGCCTGATGTGCTTAACGTAAGTTTAGCATTCGCGCAACCGCGCTATGACGATAAAACTCCTCGTCAATCTCCACACACACACGCAAACCGTCATCCGACTCACTAGTATCTTAGGTTAAGTTATGCGGCTCTGTTCTCGGTTCGAAAGAAGAGGCCGCAGTCAAAATTTACCAGTGCAGACGCGGGAGCTATATGGTATATCGAAGGGCAAGCCTCAAATGGATTCAAGTCAAGATTGTTTCTGAGCGCTAAGGACTTTTTTTTTGCTCCACTGCAGCACAAGACTTGCACGCTCAGAAACCATTCCCGACCGTGGGTGAATCATACCAAGATGCGACCAGAATCTCTCGAATGAATCATACCGAGCTGCGACCAGAATCTCTCGAAACTGCTCGGTGCTAGAACACGAGGACGATCCCCCAAACTGTTCGATAGAAATGCAACAAGCAAAGGGTGGGAGAAGAGGGGGAGCGGGAGCGTGCCAACAGCGGAACGCCACTGAGGCACAGGCAGTAGCATCAGAGTACGACCTCGTCAGGTCCTGTGATGCAAGCACTCCGCAGACGGACTCAAACTACAGCTTTTCGGGGCCGGACTCGGCCCCTGCTTCAGGTCAAGTGTATCTGCTGCAGGAAGCGAGGGACTTTCTGCATCCTCAACACATATACGTACAGCCAAGAACCGACTGAGACCGCGCTTTCAGTGTGATTACCGACTGAGACCGCGCTTTCAGCATGTTTATCCTCCCGGTATACATCTCACAGGGTCACTTCCACTCATGGTCAGTTCCAGCCTCTGCTGGTCTGCGTGATCCCTCAATGCCCCGAAAAAAACTGCCGTGGCATGGCGATAAACCCACTTAGGGCACCCTGACACAAAACTTTCCTGGATGTATCCAATGCCACAACAAGCGCTGATTCAGACGACAAAAAGTCCTGGAGTGAGTACGCACCCACTCACTGTCTAAGGGCACATTCATACGATGACTTCCCGGGATGCATCTCATCGCTATCATGGCAAGACCTGAATTTGCTTGACCACAATGACATCCAGAATTCAGTCGACAAAGAGTCCTTGCATGAGTACGCCCTGAGTTGCATATAGTTCAAAAGATCACTCACAGACTGCCACTCAATGTCAAGACACACCCAGAACGCCAGACTCTGACAGCTGCAAGATCAGACTTTGAAGCCTGCAAGGTCAGACTCTGAAGCCTGCAAGGTCAGAATTTGAAACCTGCATGGTCAGACTTTTAATCTTGCAAGGTCAGACTTTGAAATCTGCATGGTCAGACTTTTAAGCTTGGAAGATCAGACTCTGGCACCTGCAAGGTCAGACTTTGAAGCCTGCAAGGTCAGACTCTGAAGCCTGCAAGGTCAGACTCTGAAGCCTGCAAGGTCAGAATTTGAAACCTGCATGGTCAGATTTTAAGCTTGCAAGGTCAGACTCTGAAGCCTGCAAGGTCAGAATTTGAAATCTGCATGGTCAGACTTTAAAGCTTGCCAGGTCAGACTCTGAAGCCTGCAAGGTCAGACTCTGAAGCGTGAAAGGTCAGACTTTGAAGCCTGCAGCGAAGGCTGCATGGTTAGACTGAAGCTTGCAAGGCTAAACTTTGAAGCCTGCAAGGTCGGACTCTAAAGTCTGCAAGGTCGGACTCTAAAATCTGCAAGGTCAGACTCTGAAGCCTGCAAGGTCAGACTCTGAAGCCTGCAAGGTCAGACTCTGAAGCCTGCAGGGTCAGACTTTGAAGCCTGCAGCGAAGGCTGCATGGTGATCATGCTCGAGCCGAAGTTCGTTCGCAAGAAGTCAACGTCCTCGACAGAAGGTAATCCATCATGCTCAGGCCGAAGTTCTCTAGAGCGAGCGGCAACGCTGAGCCTCCAAACTGCTCCGAAGGCAGAGAGAGAGAAGCCCCATAATCCTGATGTCTGAATCATCTAAGTTAACTCCGGCATTTGCTAAGAAGCCAGCTTCTCTGCCACCTGTCCTGTCTGTAACTGACAAGATTATCTGCAGAGTGCTCAGAGGACAGCAGCCCATGAGCCCAGTGTCAAATCATGTCAGATTCTTGTGACAACAACTCAGTCTGCGGCACCGGCCCCACCAAGTCGAATCGTTTCCAACTCTACGAACAACAGTGAGTCCTTACACGGCAGCCTGTCGCGCCTACAACGGACAAAACCCCGCATCGAAGTTACGTCAGGCTCTTCTGACAACACCTGATCAGCGGTGGTGCTGCTGCCACGTGTCAGCTCTGCAACGACAGATTCTCCTGACAACACCTGATCAGCGGTGGCAGTGGTGCCACGTGTCATCTCTGCAAACGACAGATGCACGTGGCAGTACGGAATGGGCAGAAGGCAGCAATCGCACCATTTGAGATCAGATCGGATTCTTCTGTCAGCGGTGGTGCTGGTGCCACGTGTCAGCTCTGCAAAACGACAGATTCTCCTGACAATACCTGATCAGTGGTGGTGCTCCTGCCACGTGTCAGCTCTGCAAACGACAGATGCACGTGGGAGTACGGAATGGACAGAAGGCAGCAATCGCACCATTTCAGATCAGATCGGATTCCTCTGTCAGCGGTGGGGCTGGTGCCACGTGTCAGCTCTGCAAACGACAGATTCTTCTGACAACAACTGATCAATGGCGGTGCTGGTGCCACGTGTCAGCTCTGCAAACGACAGATGCACGTGGCAGTACGGAATGGGCAGAAGTCAGCAATCCCACCATTTCAGATCAGATCGGATTCTTCTGACAAGAATTCTGACAGCTGCTACAGCCTGTCGACTGCAACGAAGCAGACGACTGCCCCACAAGAGCAGCAGAATCCTCAAAAAACGCACCCTCATAACAAATGTATACAAGCTATGTTTCCAGTCGGGTACAGCCATAAAGAGGGTGTGCGTTATGTTCGGGGGAGGACGGTAGTCATTCCCCATCCTTCTGACCAATACTGCCAAACTTATGGGTTAACACTGCAGCTTAGAACACCCTCGTACTTTAACTTTCTGCCGAGAATCTGGACTCAACTCCAGGCTACATTCATTCCGTCAAATCAAATTAGTCCTAGTGCGAGTCTGCAATAGAAGCGATCAGGCTACGGGCCACACCCCATTCTCCGTAATTAGTCTCCCCATCAAACTCTTCGTCTCCCCCTTTATTTAAAATTTTAAAATTTTAAATCGTTTTTTCCAGTCCGTCTATTCAGGTACAATTGCACGGGAGTCCTCAGCTCAGCTCAGCTCAGCTCAGCTCAGCTCAGCTTGGGGGAGTTCACAGCTTGAGAAAGAACGCTGGTAATGCTGAGCGAGTACGGTGCCACACACGCGAGAAGAGCAGCGAAACTGCTTCACGCAGGGAGAGTGCCATGTCGTCCTCCTTTGCATGGCTCAGCAAAGTTTAGCACCGGAGAAAGATAAAGATGGGCATAGCAGAATTTTCCCCCCAAAGCAGACCAAGCAAGGCTTGATGAGACTCCCACAACTTGTGCCAAGCGGAATTGGATGTGCTCGCATCCTCTGTCCTTACCTTCTTCCCTTCACATCTATCCATAAATGCCATCATCATCATCATCATCATCATCATCATCATATCATACATCTAATCCAATCATGCACGAAACAACGGCTGCACATTTTCCACGCAACAGTCGTCTGTGTTTACAGGGACAGAATGCGCGGGCAACATCCATCTTCCCCATCCCCTCCATCCCTTCACCCATCCTTCGTTCGACGTGGCCTCCATCCTCTTCATCCTCTTCATACTCTCTTCATCCTCTTCATCCTCTCTTCATCCTCTTCCTCTCTTCATCCTCTCTTCATCCTCTTCCTCTCTTCATCCTCTCTTCATCCTCTCTTCATCGTCTTCATCGTCTTCATCGTCTTCACCCTCTCCATCATCTCCATCCACTCCACCCCTCCACCCATCAAGCTATCCTTTAGTCTGACAGGGCTACATACCTAAACTAGGTCGAATCGCCGTAAATTGTGAGAAACGGATCGGGATCCCAACTGCCTTACGCTGCTGCTACAGAGTCTGTCGTTGTCGTCATCATCCGTCAATCAACCCATCCGAATAAGTCCATCCGTCAGCTAATAAAGAACACCGGCGGTTGCACGGGGAAGAGCTGCGGTCGGGACCGAATCATTCCTATCCCGACTAATTGGACTGACTGTGACGATAATTACGGACGGAAACATCCCTCTCTCTCTCTCTCTCTCTCTCTCTCTCTCTCTCTCTCTCTCTCTCTCTCTCTCTCTCTCTCTCTCTCTCTCTCTCTCTCCATCCACCGGTCATCCGTCTTTCCGCCCATCCATCCGTCAGTCCGCCCGTCCCTTCAGACAAGAACCGATTTGGACCAGCCCATGTGCGGAACAGAACCGGACGTGGAATTCTCTACTCTATAGTACGTATGTATATCGTTTGAGGGGATATAGTACTGTAAAATCGGGCCTTTCCTGAATGCATTTGACCGCAATTACTGTTCAAATTCAGTTCAGGAAGTCCCGAGTGTCGTGAGAATGGTGCGCTGCTTACCTTCCCTCCGTAAAGCGCATCATTGGATACGTCACATCGGAGCTAACTGGCTGATAAGGAGCATCGAGGGTGGGCCTCGGCTGAGCCCCATCGGTTCTCCCCCGGTGGTGATAAGCACCGTTGGCGCCMCCCCCCCCCCGCCCATAAGTGCCACTGGTGTTGGCCCGCTGATAAGGCACTTCCCCCCCGCCGGCGCGGAAGCAATCGAGCGAGGACAGGCCATAACTGCTGGATGTGCTAACGACACCATGGGAGTCTACATCCTCGCTGAAGGGCGCCAAGATCCCTCTGAAGCTCTCATCTAATTTCACCTCTCCATTCCCGGTCAAGAGCGTAATCACAGTAAACATGGTGGGACGATCAGCAGGGTTCATCATCAAGCATACCAGCCCGATCCGCAAGAGCCTCTCCGCCCCCGCCTTGTCGTAATTACCCTTCAGTCTCGAGTCTACCAACCCCTCCAAATCCCCCCCCAGCAACCTCGTTATCACGACCTTCGGCAGGTAGATCGGGGTGCCATCCTCTCCCATCTGCAGGTTCCTGATAGCCGTGACCATCTCCAGCAGCACCATTCCATAGCTGTAAACGTCCAGCTTCTCAGTCAGAATCCCTTGCATCGCGTACTCCGGCGATATGTACGGCTTGGTCCCGCGGATGTTCCAAGTCAGGATGTCGTCTTGGTTCTCCCCTCTGAACCTTGCCAGACCGAAGTCGGCCACGTGCGCCCTCCAGTTGTTGTTCAGAAGAATATTCTTGGGCTTGATGTCGGAGTGCACGATGTTGCGTCCGCACTCTCCGTGGAGGTAGGCGATACCCTTAGCGACATCCAAGGCAATGCTGACACGTGTCTTCCACGGAAGCACCACCTCCCCGCCAAACAGGGCGTCGTGCAGGTCCCCTTTCTCCATGAGCTGATAGACCAGCATGAACTCGCCGTTCTCCGTGCAATATCCGATCAAGGGCAGGATGTTGCTGTGGCGCAGGTTGCCAATGGCTGCGATCTCCTTCATGAACTCGACTTCAGACCCCTCGGCGGCGGACATGTTCAAAGCTTTGACCGCGATCTTGGTGCCTTTCGGGAGCGCGCCCTCGTACACTGTACCGAACCCGCCCTTGCCGAGCTGTTGTGAGAAATCCGACGTGGCAGCCTTGAGGTCGGCGAAGGAGAACTTTCGCGGTCCGTGCAGCACTTGATTGATTACCTCGGTCGGGATGTCGGCACTGGCGGGCTTCGATGGATCGGATTGGGGGAGCATCGGAGACCTCCTGCCCGTTGGCTGCGAGCTGGCGCCACTACCACCCGATCGAGAACCACCCTGGTCGTCGACGGGTCGAAGATCGTGCGGAGATGACGGGTCGTTTGCCGGCATAGGCCGCGGCGGTGGGTGGGGACCACCGCCAGGTTGAGGTCCCTTCCGTTCGCGGCGCTTGCACAGCGTCATCGCGCACACGGCCCCGACGATCACACCTACTGCAGCAACCACCACCAAGGTTATGATGAGAATATTGGAGGCGGACAGTTTAGGGTTGGAAGTGTCGTTGGAGGAGTCGTTGGAAGATTGAGATGGAGACACCGCGGAAGAGGGCACCGCGCGGGAAGGTGGGAGCGGGAAGACGGAAGACGAAACAGGGATGCGTGGAGCGGAAGACGAACCCACGGGCGGGGAGCCGGCGGAGGACGAAACCACGACGGGCGGGGAGCCGGCGGAGGACGAAA